GGCCCAGACTTCTGGATTGGAAAGGTTGACAGGAGGCTCTGATCCTTAACTTACCTGGTGAGACACTGACCTACCAATCTTCACCTGCTGTTTCTTTTTCTCTTCTGTTTGAGGTTTGTCTCCCCAATACAGGACCATGTGCCCCAGGAGTATGTGTCCCAGAGGACTTTTCTTTGTTGTTGTTGTTGTTTTAAACAGGGTTTCTCTGTGTAGCCCTGGCTGTCCTGGAACTCTCCTTGTAGACCAGGCTGGCCTTGAACTCACAGAGATCCACCTGCCTCTGCATCCCAAGTGCTGGGATTAAAGGCCTGTGCCACCACTATCCGGTGCAAACTTATTAATTAAAAAAAAAGAAGTTTATTTCATGTGAATGCATGTCTTCCCTTTATGTATGTCTGCGCACCGCTTGCGTACCTGGTGCACAAGAAAGCCAGAAGAGGCTGTTGGATCTCCAGGAACTGGAGTTATAGATGGTTATGGGTGCTGGGACTTGAACTTGGGTCCTCCAGAAGAGTAGTCAAGTCCAGTAGGAAGGCTGGCTTGCCATCCCTAGCTTGTGTCGTGATGTCTTGATCCGAGGCTTCAGCCTTCCCTTCCTGCAGTAAAAGCCCTCAGAAACCATCACTAAGCATCACGGAGGCCCTTTGTGGCTACTGACGGATCCGTGCAAACTCCCAATGAGGTTGCTCCCAGGGTCCATGCTGACAACCTCATGCCTTATGCAGGATCCTCCAGACCAGGCCCTTAGTTCTACCAGAGGTTTCTTGCACTCACCCAGATCACTCTCCCTGTCTCTGGTCCCTCTTCCGAGCCAGGGCCCTCAGACTGGGAGTCTGCACATGCTTTGAGCTTGAACATACATCTCGATCGCTCACGACCCGAGGGCTGTCCCAGCCTCCGAAGCAGGACTGTGGGATTTCGATTTCCTCCTCCTTCTCTTGGTTTGGGAGTTGTTTTTGCAGAACCTCATCATCCGCCCCAGTGGGCTCTCTGGGGAATGTCTGAGGGAGTAATCTTCACTCCCGCCTTTCTTACAGCTTCCTGGATTTACTCAACCTCCCGGACACACGACCCACGCTGGCAGTTTCTCTTATTCTGCCTGGGCCTTTTGTTCCCCATTTTCGGCTCACTCACATTCTGTTAGTCCTAAAAGCAGAGAGTGTCCCCACATCCAGGGTCACAAGGCAGCAAGGTGGGAGTCAGCTCCCTCGACCTGACTCTCGGTAATAGAGAGCCCCGATTTGGGTCTGGGGGTGGCTTTCAAGCAAATGACTACACAGTCCGAAGGGTTTCAGCAAGGCAAAAGTCTCCTTCTGCAGCAGGGTGTGCAGCCACGGCAAACGCGCACGCACGCGCACACACACACACACACACACACACACACACACACTCACACGCATGCACACCCAGTGGGAGTCCTGCTCAGTCTATTCCCAGCAGTAAGGGGTCCTGTACCTCACTCTGAGTGGTCAGACCTGGGTCTCACACTGTTATATGGCACGGTTGATAACCAGAATCAACAGAATGCAATTTTCAGCAGAGAGTGTAACGTGAGCACAGATTTGGATTAGGGAAGTTAACCCTGGAGGAATTTGAACTGTTACCAAGTGGCTTCTTTAATTTTTTTTTAAATGGAGCTGTGCATTATTTCACCCTCTGGTAGGAAAGACAGTACATTTTGTTTTACTTAAGACCTGCTTTTTAGCCGGGTGGTGGCGCACACCTTCAATCCCAGCACTCAGGGAGGCGGATCTTTCTGAGTTCGAGGCCAGCCTGGTCTACAGAGTGAGTCCAAGGACAGCCAGGGCTACACAGAGAAACCCTGTCTCAAAAAACCAGAAGCAGGGGCCTGGAGAGAAGGCTCTCACTGTCTGCTCTTCCAAAGGTCCTGAGTTCCCAGCAACTACGCGGTGGCTCATAACCATCTGTAATGAGATCTGGTGCCCTCTTCTGGTGTGCAGGTGTACATGCAGGCAGAATATTTAATAAACTGTGTCTGCGGCCAGTGATCGTGGCTACACCCCATGACCAGATGGCAAGGCACGTCTAGATGGTAGAACACGGCACACTTTGTTTCCAGGACCGAGAGGTCAATCTGGAACCGTCCTGGAAACTTCCTGTTGACTGGCTTCCACGGTACAGAGGGGGTGGGGAGGAGGGGGTGGAGGTGGGGGAGGGAGTGACCACTGGCGCAATCGTGACATGACTCTTCATGACTCTTATGGGAGTGACCCCAAGATCCTGGTTGGGTTCCACACCCGTTCCCCAGGAAGAGATTCATGCCTGGTTCTGCAAACGTGACCGAAAGCCCCCAGTTGGGGAGGTCGCAGCTTCTAGGGAATCCTCTGACTTTGTTTTCTTCTAAATGCTCGTGCTCTCCAACTGTCTCCTGCGTGTTTGTTTATGCCCCTAGATTACTGCTGCTCTCAGCCTCGCCGGAAGAATCTTCCCGTGGCAGTGGGCAGCAGTTAAGGCCGAGACCCTCACAGGGTGCATCCGCCCCTCCCCCAAGGCTCGGGAACTAGCGCGGAGAGGTGGTAGCAGGTATAAAGGAGCCAAGAGGGTGGGGAAGGGCGCTGTGAGACGCCCTCTTCTGGACGCGACCAGGCTGTCGCGCGCATGAACTCCTGGCAGCCGGGGTCATCTGCACAAAATCAAGGCGGTCAACATTCCTGCCTTGGAGGGGGAGAAGCTCACAAGGCCCCACCCCCAGCTGAGACGCAATTGGCAGTTGGTGGCTGCGGGGAAAGGGCAGAGCCGAATTTCTTCGGGTGTGTGCGGCCTCTGGTAGGTGGCCCGCGCTCCAGTGGATGGCCCCACGCCCGTGGGCATGTGGACAGCACTAAGTGGACTCTGAGTCATTTTTACAGAGGATGTGAAAGTGGGAGGGAGACCTACGGGGGTCGGGCAGGGGAAAGGAAGTAGGAAGTAGGGTGTGGTCAAGCTGCGTTGTGTACAGGTAACAAATAGTCAAAGAATAATTTTTAAGCCAAAGTAAAAGTTAAGTTTTATCGATATAGCCTGTCTAGATCAACCTCTGGATACGTGCGTTGTGTGAGCGTTGCTTGCAAACCACTACCTTAGGCGTCAGGGGACACTGGAGCAGTTCAAGCTCAGGCGGCAGGAGAGGTGGACACCACACTAGTTGATGCCCTGCCAAATGGGCTGGATGATCAGGAAGGGCCAAAGCAGCGGAGGGGGACAAGGAGAAACTACGCTTTCATGGAGCATCAGTCTTTAGAATGACCTCACAACCTGGCTCAGCTATTACTGTTTGATAAGTTAGAAAACCGAGATCCAATTTCTGCTTAAAAGACTTACTTCTAAAGCAGCCGGTTAGCAGTTAGATTGTGCTGCTGCTGGGGCCACAGCTGAATCCCTTAGCCTCTTGGAGAAGCCTGTTCCTGTCCTGGGAACCTCCTCCTGTCAACTGCTCCGATGGGGAGCCACCCCAGGGCTGTGTCTTTCTGGGCTCTGCCAATCACCCGCTGGGCTGGTCAGGCCAAAGGGAATCTAAAGATAAGCCTCTTGCAATTTACAAGGTGGGTTTTTGGTGTCAGGAGCCTGCTGCTCTCAGAATAATCCGGAGCCCTGCTGCTGATCCTGGCCAGATCTGTCCCTTTTCTTCCAATATGCACCTGGATTCCAAGTTCCCAAATGCCTGAATCTGGAAGAAACTCACAGCCTGTTCGCCGAGCAGCTTCAACCCCAAATGATGCTATTTTCACCATTTCTGTCACCGCTCATGTTTCCACAACAGTGGAAAGGCCAGTCTCTCCAGTGGGCTCTAGAGCGCATCCTCAGTCCCTCTCAGGGGCTCAGTCCATTGTGCTGTTCAGTCAGCTTCCTCTCCATCAGCCTGGACAGGCACAAGCTCTCCAATGCTGTGGCCCCTACCCAGCCACACCCGGCTGTGCCCCACAGTGAGGCTTCTTGAAAGAGCTGGCTGTCTATACAAGCTGTCTCAATTCCCTCCCCTGATCCACTTCTAACTTTCCACACTCAGCAATGTCCCCCGTGTCTCTGTTACAGAATGACGTGTTTGCCTTACTCAAGCCACGAGAGACTAATTCATTGTCCAGGTTATTTGTTTGTTTGTTTTGTTTTTTACTTGCCTGACATTTCAGAGCCCTATGTTCAGAGTAATTCTGTTAATGGAGCTCATGGTGCATTTACTTTCCAAATGTTTCTTCTTTTATTTAATTTAATTTGTTTTTTATTTTTTTGAGACAGGGCTTCCCTGTGTAGCCTTGGCTGTCCCAGACTCACTTTGTAGACCAGGCTAGCTTGGAACTCACAGAGATACGCCTGGTGCTGCCTCCCTGAATGCTGGGTTTACAGGTGTGCACCACTGTGCCTGGCTGCTTTCCAGATATTTCTAATTTTATCGTTTAGGGTCATAGATCATACTCTAAACTACCGCAATGTCCTTGGACTTAAAAGTTTCTAGATAGACAAGAATAGAAAAACCGAGCTTAATTTATGTTAACTTACTATGCAGTTTCAGGGAGATGTCCATGAAAGCCATACCTCAAGTGTGTGTGGGGGGAAAAAAAACCAAAACTACATGCGACTGTTTAGTGCTAAATCCTCAGTGAGTGACATAAACAAATCTGTTCGCTGAGCGTGCGCATGTACGATCCAATGCTCAAAGGGAGAAACTATGGTGTATAAAAGCCGGAGGGGGCTTGGGGGGGAAGACTGAGGAAACAGACTCCCTTGAGTCCCGAGTCAGGCAACTAGACTAAAACGACTAACTGGACAAACAGATCTGGACAGGATCAGCGTACGTGGGGAGGGTGCGACGGCGAGGGCAGTCGGGGCCCCAACAGCCAAGTTGACAGCGGGGCGGAGCCGAAGAGGCCAAGAGCGCACCTGGGTCGCGGCGGGGGCGGAGCCAGATGAAGCCCCGCCCCGCCCCGCCCCGCCCCGCCCCCGAGCGCCCCGCCCTCGGGGGAGCCGGAAGCCTGGCGAAGGAGGCGGTGCGAGGCGGACGGGAGAGTCCGGGTCGGGGGAAGCCTGTCGCGGGGCCCTCGCCGTCGGCGGAGCCAGCCCCGAGCGCTGCCCGACGGAGCCGGGACCATGGGGAGGGCGCGCCGCTGGCCACGCGTCGTTCCCAGGTCCGCGCTGGGACGGCTGCTCCTGCTGCTGAGCGCGCTGGCCCCGGGCCGCGCCTCCCCGCGCCTCTTGGACTTCCCGGCTCCGGTCTGCGCGCAGGAGGTGAGCGGGGATGCTGGGGGCCGTCGGGGTGGCGGAGAGGGAGGCGACGACGGGCTGTCAGAGGGGCCCGGGGTAGGTAGGGACTCGGAGGAGGCCCGCGCGTGAGGGCGACGCGGGGACGCGCCGACTGGGACCCAGAGAAGGGGCCCTGGCAGGAGCCGAACCGGTCTGGGCTGGCTCCTAAACCCATGGGCCCCGGGGAGTAGTCCTCCAGCTCTACCAGGCTCAGCTACCCCAGCCCGGCCTCCGGGGTCCCCACAGGTCGGGTAGTGCGGGCGAGCCCGGTGCCCAGGGGAATTCAAACAGGATGTGGCCTGGCCGCCCTCGGAGGGCCGAAACTTTCCGCCCTTTCCCTCTTTCCACCACCACGTGTGTCCCGGAGCCCAGAACCTCAGAACCGAGTTAAGACGTGTGGAAGTCTGCCAATTGGCGACTGCCAAGGAGGACCCCCCGCTGCGCTCACGGGAAACCGATATGCCCCTGTCGGTTGGACCTTGTTGTTGAACCCGATGGTTGTCAAAAAAAAAAAAAAAAAAAAAAAAGGAACCTATGCAAAACAGAGTGCCTGTCCCACGAATAAACTTTCCTCCTGTCCTCCTCCCCCTCCAAGCCTTCTCTTTCCTCCACTCGTGTTCCCTGACCCCAGGAACTGTGTTCAGTAGCTGAGTCAGAGGATGTGCAACAAAAAGATAGGTCTCCTTATCTAGTTTTGCAGATTTACCAGAAGAGGGTGGGAAAAGGGTGATCGTTTTTTCTTTCTAAAAAGTCCCGAGAGCTGTGGGGAAATGTCACAGTGATCCCCACTTTGGGCAGATCAGAGTGACATCTTCCGACAGGACAGAAGCGTGACAACACGGAGGACCGCCGCTTGTGTGTGGCTAGTCATCTGCCTGCCGAGGGCCTTCCAAACACAAGTCAACTGAAACTAAATCAGCACTCCCGGGACCGCAGCGTCCAGGGGACGTTGTCTGGGCCGTAGGAACTGTCTAGCAAGGCAGCCTGGCGCTTTGCACAACCCCTGATTGTCCAGACCTCCCGCGGGAAGAAAATGACTTCCGGCTGGGCTGCTTTTCATTGAAAAGGCATTTGGACAGTTGTGTCCCAGAGCAGGAGCCTCAGGAACAGTTCGGTTAAAGCATCTATTCCCTCTGGTGGAAGGTGCCTGGGCCAAGGTCTGTAAACGAGGCAGCGTCAAGTGTATTGCTGGAGGATGGCATTGGCTGTGGAGCAGGAGAAGGGATGGGGTGGGAGCTGAGGTAAAAGGTTATGAGGTCTGTGGAAGCTAAGCTAGACTCGGAGCTACAGTCCCCGCCGTAAATATTGGGTGGTCTTTGGAGGTTTGGATTGATTTGGGTTTTGGTTATTTATTTATTTATTTATTTATCTATTTATTTATTTATTTATTTATTTCCAGGCAGGGCTTCTCTGCTTAGCCTGGCTGCCCTGGATCTCACTTTATAGACCCGGCTGGCCTCTCTTCCCAAATGTAGGGATTAAAGATGTGCGCCACCACTGCCCACCCGTGGACTTTAGTTTGGACTTTGTGTTTTATTTTATGTCTAAGTGTTTTGCCTTCGTATGTGTATGTGCACCACATGAATGCCTGGTGCCCATGGAGGTAAGAGGGCGTTGGATCTCCTGGGACTGGAGTTACAGACAGTTGTGAGCCACCGTGTGGGAGCTGGGAATCTCACCTGGCCTCTTCCCTGCTGAGCCGTCCATCTTTTCAGCCCCTAAGGGTTTGCCTCTAATGGGAAGGTGCTGGTGGCTGCATTTCTCTGCAGCATCCTTCTGCCTTCTCCTCTGCTGCCTCACAGACAACTCCACTCCACAGGCTGACAGCTTCCCTCTCCATCGGCCTTGAAGTCCCTTCTAAAAGACTCTAGAGCTGGGAGGGCTCTGTGGTGCACGCCTGTAATCCCAGCACTTGGGGGCCAGAGACAGGTGGATCTCTGAGTCATCCTAGTCTACAAAGCAAGTCCAGGACAGCCAAGACTACACAGAGAAACCGTGTCTCAAAAAACAAACAAACAAAGAACCAAACCAAACAAAAACAAAAAAAAAGAAGCTAGGGCTGGGGGTGTGGCTCAGTGGTCTCTGGGCTCCGTCCCCAGAACTGTACAGAGGAAAACCCACACTGTTCACACACACACATACACACACACACATGCATACACAGATATATGTACACACACATACATATATATGCAGATACACATGCATACAATTACAACATATACATACATATATACATACACATACAGACCACACACATAGACACGTGCATTCATTCATACACATACACAACACATATGTACATACACATATATACACATACATATATGCACATACACACATACATATAAACGCGCACACGTATACATACATACATATATATTCACACGTAATACATACAGACACACAGACCACACACACATACATACATACAGATACACACACAATACATACATACATATACACACAGACCACACACAGACATTCATACACACACATACAGCTGCATGTTGTTTTAGCGGGCACAGCGTGGCTTATTTCCACGGTGAGGGTGCTGGATGAGACCTCACAAAGGGAGCCTGGCACTTTCTACAACCTATGTGACCGTCTATTGAGAAGATTGATGTAGCGCCCAGTGACACCCTCCTGTGACTGGAGGCGTCAGCACGCCTGCTCTCTTCCTTGTTCCATGCTGCACGCACAGCCTAGGGGCCTGGCAAATACATGTTGCGTGAAAATGCAAGAGACTAGAGGCAGAAAGAGGAAGGCTCCCCTGTTTTTCAAGCAGTGGTGAACTAAAGGGCAATGCACTTACTTGGGCTGCCTAGAATTAGCACCTCAAAACCTGCGGAACTCTAGTCTCCCATGGAAACCAGCCCTGGTGACACCATGAGTATTGCGTTTCCCTGGATGTTTTTCGTCGGCCTGCCTGGGCTTCTTATAGTTCAGGTTCAGTTATCCGCCACTCCCGAGGAAAGCCAGCAAGCAGCACCTGGGAGCTCATCAGCACGAACGCTCGCACTGTGTATAGACAGGATGCAAGTTACCATTACCAGTTCGTTTTCCTGAGTGCTTGTGGTTTTGACTTGTGGTAGAATGACTGTTTGGCATCGCCCTTTTGTGTTGTGCTTGCCGGAAGCTGTGCTCAGCCTTACCCCTCTTCCCTAAGCTAAAGAGTGGTGTTGTGTGGGTGCGCCTGTGGCGGACACTCTCCTTTAGGCATGGCTGCAGCGCCGGTGATGGGTGATGCAGTCAGCAGGGAGCAGAGCAGGCCCTGCTCAGACCTGGACCAGCTCTCACCCTGGCTGCCCGTCGCCTGTGTCAGGCTAATCTGCCACCAGAGGACCCTAACTAGCATCAGTTAGCAACCAGTAAACAAGACCTGGCCCAGGCAAGCCTCCTCATCTCCCGCTCGCAGCCCTGGGTCTTCGTCTGTAACAGGAGTGGTCCTCCCCTCCTGGGCTGTGGGAGAGCCTCCAGTCCACAGTCTGGAAGACCTCAGGCTGTGTGCCCTGGCGTGTCCCACCAACCTGTGCCAGGCAGTTGGTAATGTGTGCTCAGTGCCCAGAGCTACGCAGTCTTTCAGTTCTTCTTTTAGCCGTCCTGCCATGAGTGCAGAGGAGAGGCCTACGTGTTGTAAACATCCCTTTCATGGGAGGCAGGGTAGCAGTGCTGGGGCATGGTTCTGGAGCAAAGCAGGCTTGCTGCATGGGCCCGGGAGCCGCCTGGCCAAGCTCCCTGTGCCACAGGTGTGAATCTCCTGACAGCAGCGAGGTGCTCTGAGAGTCTTGGTAGACCTAGACGGCCCCAGCAGGGCAGCCGTCTAGCTGCGTGTAGCCTCTTGATGTAGTCAGAGGCGTAGCGAACAGAATCGTAGAGCCGCTGCCAGCATCAACCGACAGTGAACTTTGTTCGGTTTTGTTCGTTTTTCAAGACAGGGTTTCTCTGTGTAGCCTTGGCTGTCCTGGTCTTGCTTTGTAGACCAGGCTGGCTTCGAATTCACAGATAACTGCCTGCCTCTGCCTCCCCGAGCGCTAGGATTAAAGGCGTTCACCGCCACTGCCTGGTGATGTATGGTACTCTCCATCTGTTTGGTGGAATGAGTGGTTGGTGTTTCAGGTGAAGGGTGGCCACACTCACACAAGCGCTGCTGGGATTGGACCGAGGCTGTACATGTGCTAAACATTTCCTGTTGACTGATACCCTGGGCCCTAGGAATAGGAATTTTGGAAGGATTAAGGAGGCAGCTGGGGAGGAAATGATTGGGCAGGACAAGATCTATATTAGTAGTGTCCGAAGAAAATACCAAACACACCTCAGATGATTAAGAAGATTGCAGAAGCTGTCGAGTGGTTCAGTGGATAAAGGCACTTGCCTCCATGTCTAATGATGACCTGACTTCAATCCCTGGGACACACAGGGCAAAAGGAAAGACCTGCCTCCTGAAAGTGGTCTCCTTGCATTCACACACACAGTAAATAAAAATGAAAAAAAAAATTGCAGGGGCTGGAGATGACTTAGTGGGTAAAATGCTTGCTAAGCAGGCGTGAAGATCTGAGTACGGAGACCTAGCAACCACATAAAAAGCCGGGTGTGGCAGCTGTGCCTGCAACCCCAGAGCTAGAGGACAGAAACAAGTGTAACCATCCTCACTAGCCAGCTTGGAACAGTGGGACTCAGATTCAGCGAGAGACCTTGACTTAGATAGATAGATAGATAGATAGATAGATAGATAGATAGATAGATAGATAGATAGATA